AAATAAATAAATAAATAAATAAATAAATAAATAAATAAATAAATAAATTCATAGCCTGGCATGGTGGCACACACCTTTAATTCCAGGACTTGGGAGGCAGAAGCAGATGAACTCTGTGAGTTCAATAAATATTCTGAAGTAAATAATTTTTTATCCAATTCCATTGTTTTACTAGCATTTGTTGCTTGACTTTTTCTGAGATGTGAAATTACTATCACAGGGCTCAGTAAAGCTCTCAATGCCTAGCTAAGAAGAAATTGTTGAAGATTACCTTCTAGTACAGGAAGTAATGGGGGGGGGGATTTTAAGACTTTTCTAGAGAGATGGGAACGCCATTAAGGCCCTAACCCAGCCCCACAGTCCTCACTGGATCTAAGTTTTCCTATGAACACCATCTTGCACAGCCCAGAGAACTGAATATCAAACTGCCTCTCTCACACACTGCTTTCTCAGTAATGGCTACCTTTCCCCTATGGTCCTTGTGATGGTTTGTATACACTTGGCCCAGGGAGTGGCACTATTAGGAGGTGTGGCCTTGTTGGAGTAGGTGTATCACTGTGGTCGTGGGCTTAAGACCCTCACCCTAGCTGCCTGGAAGCCAATATTCTGCTAGCAGCCTTAAGATGAAGATGTAGAATTCTCAGCTCTGGCTACACCATGCCTGCGTGGATGCTACCCTATTCCCACCTTGATGATAATGGACTGAAACTCTGAATCTGTAAGCCAGCCCAATTAAATGTGTCCTTTATAAGGTTTTATATGGCTTGCCTTGGTCATGGTGTCTGTTCACAGAAGTAAAACCCTAAGACAGTCCTCATGAAGAAGGCCACCCTGAGACTTCCCTCAATGGCATTCCATTCTCAGATAGCTTGGCCTTGGTTGCATATGCTACCAGCCATCACAGAGAGTATGCAACCATTGCTACAACAAGGAGGTCCATTGTCTCTGACAAAGGCTAGGGGAAATGTAGCTTCGTGGGGATTGTGCCCTGTGCATCCTCCACCATCACAGGGATCAGCCTCACTTGCCTGCCTCAGTACCCACAGCCATTACTCCTCCATGGCTC